AGGATGCAGGATCTAGTTACAATGTAGCTGTAAAGTGCTGCCTTGTCTTTGCCCCCTGCTCAAAATAAAGCTGTTACCTTTCTAGCCCTGTCCGCCATGGTGCTTAGCAGCCAGGGATGCATGGTCTCAGACATGTTTACCAAGTAAAAAAAAAAAACAAAACAAAAAACAAAGAAGGCTGCACAGGATGAAGATACCAATTTTATAGGGGAGAAAACTTATTAGTGCTACTTAGACACAAAAATTAATTCTAATAATCCTAACCTCGATTGAACAAATTATCTACCTAATTTTAATCACATTTAACTCTAATTATTCAAGTGTCATCTCTGCTGCTTTGTTGTCAAATTATTTCAGTTCATCCCTCCAAATGATACAAAGAAACTGTTTAAGATGAAGTACTCTTAATTTTGTTTTTCAAAGATTCCCTGAATTTGGAGAGGTAAAGAAAATATTTTAAGATCCAGGTCACCACATGTATGTAATGTTACAAATAACAACTTGATCATTTCTCCTGCTCAAGTACTTAAAAAAGAGATTTTTCTAACAATCCAGGGTAGACTGAACTTAACAATCACAGTGTCACTTTGTGACACTATGATCCTCTGTTACATCCCAGTGTTCTGTTTCAAATTTCATTTCTAAATCTTTTAAACATTTCCTTCAATTTAGCAACTTTCCTTCCTCTGGAACAAATCTTTTCAATGATGATTTGGACCATCTGAGTTATTACACTACGGTCTATTTTAGATCGTTTAAAAAAAGTTATTAACATGACTCTTTGCTTACAAATCACAAAACTTCATCTTGATATGTGATTTCCTAATGCACTGGGAATCTTGTGTAACTATCTCAAAAGTCCACAAGCTAGTTTTCCAAATGTGACAGACAAGAACTTGGGCAAGTCAATTGTGAAATCATAAACTTTATTGCAATCTAGTTGAGCACTTCACTTGTTTTTCAAGGAATATCAGAAAACACTAAGTGATTTTTAAAAATAAGTATTATAATGTGAACAGCTGCTTCACATCATGGACAGAGCTCTTACATATCCATTCCTACTTGAGATGTGTTCTCTTTACATTGCTGTCCCAAAAAGGTTTTTCCTACTAGGTTCTTTAAATGTTTTGAATGAATAAAGTGAAGAATATGGAGTTCCATTATTTGTGTGCCTTAGTTGAGCCTAGTCTGAAAGCAACCCCTAACCATCCCAAAATTCAATCAAATGCTTGGTGAAGTGTACATTCAATAATGAAATAGCAGAATAAATAATCACAGAGAACGACCACAAGCACACCACTTGATTTAAAATGAAAAAAAAAAAGCCCAAAGAAAGGAAAAATACAGAAAAGCAACAAAAAAGAACAAAAGCCAGGGCAAAACTTCCCTGCAGGTAATCTTCCCAACTTCTCCAATCTGACCCTTCTCTTCTACTTTTAAAATCCTCCAACTGAATGGAACAAGATCCGTAGGTTTAGCTTACTCTTTGGGGGAACACTTTTTCCTATAAGTGTCCTTCTGCCAAAGTATTTCTGATTTCCGGAGAGATACCGTTTTGCAGAAGCAACAATGTTACACATCAGGCCTCCAGAAAAGTTTAAGGAGAAATTAAAAACAAAACAAAAACCTTGTAAATTACATGAACTAGGCCGTATCCAAGTAATTGGAGAGAGGCAAGTTTCCAAAAAGCAGAAAGACTTCTGTAATTCTATGTCCTCTTCGTCCATCTTCACCCCCCCAAAAAGTCAACAGAATGCCCTTCCTCCTTAGCAGGGGCCACTATTCCAATCAAGCGAAAAACTTTGTTTTAATAACACTGAACAAGGGGCGACCCTAGGTGCGCAGAGTGTGACTGAGGAGGCAGCAAGGTGACGGACTCCCGGCCATGAATCCGGAATGACTTAAAGGACACAAGTCCCTGGGAGTTCAGGCCAGATTGCTCCACCACCCACCAAGTGGCACTTCAGGTTCGCTGAGTTGGGCCAACAACGTATTTACTATTTAAGAACTCTACAAGTCCAGGCAAGCCAGCAGCCGGCTAAGGGGCCGGGCGGGTACAAGGGACGCAGGAGCCTCAGGAGGGAGAGGGGACCTGAAGAGGGGAAGGCCAGGCGCTGGGCCCGGACTTGGTCAGCACCGGCCAGACCCCGGCCTGGAGCTGCGCGAGCCGCCCCAAGAGCGAGGGGCCGGCGGCGCTGGATTGCACTCACCTGCCCATTCTCCGAGCCTGGGTCCGACCCCTGCCTCGTGACTCAAACCCCAGACCCGAAGGGCCGTGAAGAGCAAGTACGAGATGCGCAGGGCCACGTAGGCCACGGTGCCTGCGCCTACCCAGTACAAGAAGCCGGCGGCCGGAAATGCGCTCTCCATGGCTTTCAACTAGGCCTTACTACCTTCGTGAAGAGAAAAACGAATGAATGAATCCAGGAAGAGGCGCCCGCGGTGACGGTGAGGACGACACCAACAGGCGCTGCCCCTGCGCCTCTTTTGGCCTAAACCCCGCCCGCGGCGCCATATCCGTGCCGCCATTGGTGATCTAGCGTTCCCGCTGTGCGTAGTGCGTCAGCCATTGGCTGACTCCAGTTTCGCTACCCCGCCCATGTCCCCTCACGCGCGCACCGGGCCCTCTCTCCGTTCTGAGCCGGCTGATCGCTTCCCTGCCAATCACACTTCAGCCCCGCCCAACGCGTCACCACGCCCCCAGGATTCCTCCAGAGGGCGGCAGGTCTCACGCCCACCAAATCTCCCAGGTCTCTCATTGGCTGCAGTGGTCCTCACGACTGCGGGAGACTGCGCTCCGATTGGCCAGGGAGACCCAGCCGCGTTTGAGCTCGGGATCTAGGAGGGAATGGGGTCTGAGAAGCCACTAGTGAATGGGAACATGGTAATAAAAAGTGGGCGTAGAGTCTTGGTTTTATTTTCACCTCTGTACTAAATACTTCTGTATCACTGTTAAATATTCTGTCATTGTTCCCATAAACTTTTCCGAATAAAGGCTTGCATCTGCCATTTCTATGTCTCCTTCACGGAGCATCTTCCCTCCAGTTACATGTACTTATTGTGGACCTTCTAAATGCTCCCTCTCGTCCTGAGCATTAAACAACAATGCTCCCAAGGTCTTGGAGTTCAAGGCAAATAACTTCATGGACTCAAATAACTGTAATACACAGTGGCATAAGAGCTGTAAGATGAATGAGAAATAGAGGAACATAGAGGAACACAGCTTGATGAATAAGTAGTTTGGGGAAGGGACTCCATGTTTAACCGGACCTTAAAGGACAATAGAGATTTTTGTTTTACTCTCTGTTTAAATTTACGTTTTCGGTGGGGGTAGGTGGGGTGCGAGAGGACACAAAAGTTGTGGTCTTAGTAGAGATAAAGAAAACTACCTCAGCAAAATTCCACAAGGTAAGCATGGGAGATTGTGTAATGCAATAGAGTGCTTCACACTTCCTCTCTCATCCATCAAGAGTTTTTGTTTCCTTTTCTGGCATGGATCTGGGTTTATATAAAACACCTAAAATTTTTCTTAGCCAGTAGGGACTGCTGATTCAAGACTTGAGACTTTTTTAAAAGGCAGAAATTTAAGGGTAATAATTGTAAGGATCAACAGTTCAACATATCTTGAAGCTAACATAATAATTTTATAATATTTAGTTTCAGAGCCTTATCTCTCCCTGCCCAACCCCCCCCTCTTTTTCCACCCTCGTATCAGAATATTTAAGTATAACCCTAAGGCTGATACTGTTCTTTATAAACTGTCAACTGTCTAGCAGAATGCAGCCATGTGAGTTGAGCAGGCACATTTTGTTTGAATTGAATTTGATACCCTTGGCTGAGGCTGCCTGTCCAGTTCAATGGAATCCCACCACTTCTTTGTCTCAACATCTCCCTCTAGCCAAAGTCTTCACATGCAGTATAGCCCCAAATGCATATATCCCGATTCATCGTTGCTCACCAACTAAGGGCCCTCAAGATATTCATGCTCCTTAGAATAAGGCAGAAGGAGGAGAAGAGAGCTATTAACCAATAATACAAGGGTGCCTGCTGGCTCAGTCAGTAGAGTTGGCGACTCTTGAGGGTTGTAAGTTTGAGCCCCACATTAGATGTAGAGATTACTTACAAATAAAATCTTAGGGGCACCTGGATGGCTCAGGGGGACTCTTGATTTCGGCTTAGGTTGTGATCTCGGGTGGAGGGATGAGCCCTGCGTCAGACTGGGCGCTCAGCGGGGAGGCTGCTTAAGGATTCTCTGTCTCCCTCTGCCCCTCCCCCTGCTGGTGCATGCACGCGCTCACGCTCTCGCTCTCTCTCTCTAATAAATAAATAAATCTTTAAAAAATAAAATAAAATCTTAAAAAAATAAACTAATAATATGTATTTGTGTTGCATTTATATGTATGTCTATGGCCCCCAGTAGAACTTACGATTATTGGGAACACTATGCTGTGAATCCATAGGACCTAGAACACTTCCTGGAACCCTGAGATACTCAATAAACATCTGACAAATAAATGGAAGTGAAGATTCATTCATTCAACAGATATTGCTGTACCAGAAACTGAGCTAGGTAGGTATTGGATATACAATAATGAGCCAATGGTCAATTCTTAGTCCTCATCCTGTTGTACCATTCAATGATGAGTGGCCTCTGTTTTCCTTACCAGCTGCTCCTTCTCAGATGCTCCTTCCCATCCTTCGATGGATGGCCCCTCCTAATGCTGGCCTCTATATGTTCCAGTGCCCTTGGGCTCAGACCCCTGCTCTCTTTACTTCTCTACACAGTCTCCCTACATGATTTTATCCAGTCCCTTGGTTTTAAATATCAATTGTAAGTTGATGAATTCCAAATATCTCTGGCCAGGCTCAACTTTTGCTCAGAGGTGTGCATAAATACATAATCTCTACCTAACTACTCAACATCTCCATTAAGATGTAAAATAAACATCTCAAGTGAAACATGTTCAAAACAGACTCTACCCCCTCAAACACACACACACACACACACACACACACACTTCTGCTTCTAATCTGTTAAAAGTATCACTATTTACCAGCTTTCTAAGGTTTAAGACCTAGGGGTCAGCCTTGATTTTTTCTTTCCATTACATTCCCATATTCAGTTCTTGAGCAAGTCTTGTTCACACTACCTCCAAAATATATCTTGACTGACCACTTCTCCCCACTTCTGCTACTACCAACCTAATCCAAATCACAAGGATTTCTTACCTGGAATATGGCAATAGCCTCCTCACTGGTCTCCCAGAAACTGTCTTGAGGTTTGTTCTCCATGATGCAACTTGAGTGGTTGTTGTTGTTTGTTTGTTTGTATTTTAAGTAAATTAGATATCATTTCTTCTGCTCAAATCCCTTCAAGGACTTTATAAATCAGATTAAGAACAAAATCCTCCAAGACTAGTTTATCTTCCCTGACCTCTCCAGCAGCATCAACAACTCCTGTGCTCACTTGATTCCAGCCACATGTCTTGCAGTTCCTGAAATAAGTCAAGTTTATTCCAATCTCAGAGCAATTCTATTTCCTGTTCCTTTTCCAGAACCTCTTACCCTCTGTCTCCCAAGTCTCACTCCTTTATATTATCTGGGCTTCTGTGCACACGTTCTCCCACTTAGAGTGGTTTTCTCTGATGGACCTACATAAATAGACCAAATCGCCTCTTCTCCTTTGCCCTGTCACTACTTATCTTTTTACCCTAATTTACTTTCCTTATAACCCTTAATGCCTTCAAACTGTTTGATTATTTGGTTTTTGTCCATCTTCCCAATAGAATGTAAGTTCATGAGGACAGTGACATTTTCTTGTATCTTCACCTAAGATGTGCACCTAAGAATAACTGACACTTAGTAGGTATGCAATAAATACTCGTTGAATAAATGAATGATGAAGAAGTGAAAATAGTCTAGCTAGAGAGGCAGACATTAAGCACATCCAACTAGTTATATGATAAAAATTGTAATGAGTACAAAGAAGAAAAGAATAGGGGTTAAGAAAAGAAGATAAAGGGAGGACCTAATTTAGATGGGAAGAGGGGACTGCCCTGAAAAGCCTTTCTAAGGAAGTGACATTTGAGCTGGGATCTAAGGCTAAGTAGAAATCAATCTGGCAGAGTAGGACGGGGTAGAGGAAAGGAGAGAGCAACAAATACTCACTGAGGGTTTGTTGTGATTTTGAAGAACACACACACACACACACACCACACACACACACATGCCTCTAGCACCTACCATAGCATCTGCCATAAAAATAAACCGACAACAAAAAATAGTTGTTGATTTTGGATTTTTTTTGATGAATAATGACAGGTACCATTGAAATGGACTTTCTACTGTTCTTAGAATTTGTATTGAGTATGGTATTTTTGCTCAAGGAATATTGATTGAAACCACCTCATTTTGGTACCCATTTTTTCCTATCAGGTCTGAACAGTACCCTTGCAATTAATAAGAATAATCTTTATTAAGAATGCACACATATGGGGCGCCTGGGTGGCTCAGTCGTTAAGCATCTGCCTTTGGCTCAGGTCATGATCCAGAGGTCCTGGGATCAAACCCTGCATCGGGCTCCCTGCCCGGCAGGAAGCCTGCTTCTCCCTCTTCTACTCCCCCTGCTTGTGTTCCCTCTCTCACTGTGTCTCTCTCTGGGTCAAATAAATAAATAATTTTTTTTTAAAAAAAGAATGCACACATATATTTACTAAAAGAAAAAGACAGTAGCATCACAGGGTGAAGTGTCTGTGCCAGAGAAAGCCCTTTGAGGTCCAGAGGGCTATATACTTTTGGAACTGAACAGCAATCTTTTGTCTTTGGAGAAATTTTATGAACCACTTAAAAGCTCTAATGCAGGGGCACCTGGGTGGCTCGTTGGCTGAGTGTCTGACTTCAGCTCATGTCACGATCTCAGGGTCCTGGGATCGCACCCTTTCTTCCTCTCCCTCTTTTCATGCCCCTCCCCCAATTTGAGCTCTCTCAAAAAATAAATAAAATCTTTCTAAAAAAATTTTTAAATTTTTAAAAAAAAAAACCTTCTAATGCATACAGGCACCTACAATGATGGTCTACTCCTATTCAGCAGTATTCTGTGCTAAAATTTAACATACAGACCAGGGTTCCCAGGGATTGGCAGACATCCTAACCAAACATATGAAACCATTAATAACTCTCCAAAGAGGAAGCAATACTATAAAACTTTGGGCTTTGGTGTCAGGTAAATCTGGAACCAGATCTCAACTCTACCTCTTATTAGCTCTATGATCGTGTATGGATTTAGCTACTAAGCATTCAAATTTCACAACAGTAAAATCGGACAATACTATAGAAGCATTTAGCAGTGACTGGCAGAAAGGCGTTAAGTGTTCAGTGAGAAAAATGAGGCCTAAAATATCTAAGTAACTTTCCTATGGACATATAGAGAGTAAGTGGCAGAATTGGGATTTCAGCTAAAAAGGTGTGGTTATGAAATCATGTCTCAATAACTAGCTCAGAAAGGCAGCATAAAAAATGATTAACAGAGAGGTGAAGAGTCCCTGGAAATAGCTGGTTGTTATACAAGTAGCATACTCAGACACAACCACATTAAATTTCGGTCTCATTTATTTAAAAGATTTAGAGTTCAGAACAGTCTTTAATATGGAAAAATGTGAATCAACAATATTGCATCATATTAGTATACAGATGGTCTCATTTAATTTCAAATTCATTTTCAGTATGTCTGTAAATTGAGTTTCAGATCAGATTTTCATGATGGAATCAGGAGTAGCTCAATATAATGAAAGAAAATTCCATAACTAGGGAATTTCATAGAAGCTAGGAATTTTTAAGAATACCGTTACAAAAGAGCCGAATCCTTCATTTGGTTACATAATAAAACTTACGTATTTTTAACAGTTCTGTCTTCTTCCAGCTCATCTTCATTTAAACATAGCTCAAAACATTGTACTTAATCTCTCCTTTAAGTTCAGTTGAGAAGGTGTTCAGTCCTGGAATTTAAAAAAAAAACAACAAAAAACCATGATTAACAAACAGGTTTAAAAGAAACTGAAATTTTTGGCATTAGAAATCAAGTTTCCATGAGTGCCTGGGTGGCTCAGTCAGTTAAGTGTCTGCCTTCAGCTCAGGTCATGATTCCAGGGTCCTGGGATCGAGTCCCACATCAGGGAGTCTGCTTCTCCCTCTGCCCCTCCACCACCCTACCCCCCTGGCTCATGTGTGCTCTTTCTCTTTCTCTCTCCCAAAAATAAATAAATAAAATCTTAAAAAAAAAAAAAAGAAAGAAATCAGGAGGTTTCCAAAAAATTAATATTTATTTAACAAACAATATTACCATTTAATTTCTTTCACAAATAATATTACCAAAAGACATGCACATGAACATTTACTGTGCTTCGTTATTGCATTAGCATTTTAAAAGTTGACTTCACATACATTATCCCATTCAAAGATCCCAGTAGCAGTGCCATTTTCCAACATGGAAACAAACTCTTGAAGATGGGACTCTTGCCTAAGAAAACTAAAACCAGTCGTTTTGAAACAAGTGATCAAAAAACATGTTTTAATATTTTATTTTTTAGTTTCAAAAGATCACAGAGGTATATAAAGTGAAAAAGTATCCCACCCCATTTCTGATCCCCACAAATGACGGCTGGTAATTTGGAGTGCCTTCTTCCATTTCTTTTTCTATGTAAATATAAAGCTATACGATATAGACAACATACATACACTTTTTTTTAAAGTAAAAACTGTGATCATACAAACATAATCCAACAACCCTCTTTCTCCATCCATTCAAAACACCATTAAAAATACCACGGTGAGTAGTGGCTGGCCTGCTCGGTCGGAAGAGCATGAGACTTTTTTTTTTTTTTAAGATTTTTATCTATTTATTTGACACAGAGAGAGAGACAGCAACAGAGGGAACACGAGCAGGGGGAGTGGGAAAAGGAGAAGCAGCCTGAGCAGGGAGCCTGATGCAGCATTCAATCCCAGGACCCTGAGATCATTACCCGAGCGGAAGGCAGACGCTTAACGACTGAGCCACCCAGGCACCCCGAGCATGGGACCCTTGATCTTCAGGTTGTGAGTTTGATCCCCACATTGGGTGTAGAGATTATTTAAATAATAAATGAATACTTAAAATTACCATGGTGAAACCTTGACATATCAATATTGTGCATGAACCAGATTTCTTTATTGCACCAACAGATCTATTAATCATTCCAACAACCTTACCCAAAATACTCTTTCATTTTAAAAAAAATTAGTGCCATGGTGAACAAATCAATTTAACACTAGGTGAAAGGGAAAGAAAATAATATATTTTTGTCAGCATCATACTTCCAGCCAAAAATAAAATTTCAGGATGGTTATGCAAGCAAATTAAAGTAAGTAACATTGGGGAATTTCAGGGGAAGTTTGTCTTCATCTTAATGACTACTTTAGCAGTGGACTCAGGATTTGCTATCTTTACTCATATTTTTTCTAAAATTTCTAGCTACTTTAATTGCTATTACTTTTGCCTCATTTTCTTTCTTATTTTTATTATATTTATAAATATGTTTGATACAGGGGCGCCTGGCTGGCTCAGTCAGTAGAGCATGCAATTTTTGATCTTGGGGTCATGAGTTCGAGTCCCACGTTGGGTGTAGAGATTACTTATCTGCCACATACAAAAGATTACATGAAATACATAAGCTAGTTATAAGTCATAATATAATAAAAAACTATAAACCCACCACCCAACTCAAGAACGAAAAAACCAAGAACCTACCCTATCCCTACAGTCCTAAATATTCTGTATCATTCTACTGCTTTTAGGTATAAACATTTAAAGTATATATATGTATATGTATATATACATATACCTGCATGTAAATACTTTATCACAAATTTATATGAAATAATATATTGTACACTTTTGCTTATTTTTGAGATCTATTGAAAACCATAATATAGTGGATGCTGGAGTATGCAACCCTGATATCCTCTCCAGGACCAAGACATTCATTTGCAGAGAGTGCTAGTTGCTGAGGGCTCCCAGTTGTGACCCCCTATGGGAGCTGTTCTTGGCTGAAGGGAGTTGCTTTGCCCTTTCCCCACAGGTAGCCTGCAACCAATGCCTAGTTAATGCAGGACTACACATGCCTGGCCCACTTATCTCAATTATGGACATCTGTGAGGCCATCCTAGCTTCAGAGCTCCCTGTGGGATCAGCCCAGGCTTCTGTTACTCCTGCATCACAGCTCAACTACTCCCTCAGCTTAATCCCACTTCCCTCACTCCCTTACAGACGCTGCTCCCCAGAGGACTCCATAAATAAGTCCCCTGCAAGCAAATCTCAATCTCAGAGTCTGTTTCCTGGGAAACCTGATTGTATGGGTTGAATTGTGTCCCCCAAAAGATATGTTGAAATCCTAACTGGTCCCCACCAACATATGAATGTGGCTGTATTTGGAAATAGGGTCTTTGGAGATGTAATCAAATTAAGATGAGGTTAGACTAGACTAGGGTGGGCCTTAAATTCAATGACTGTGTCCTTATAAAGGGAGATTTGGAGTCAGAGGAAAGGTCATAGGAGCTGGAGAATGTAGTTGTGCAACCACAAATAAAAAAATTTAAGGATTGCCAACACCCCCCAGAAACTAGAAGAGGCAAGGAAGAATTCTTCCCTAGGGCCGTCAGAGGGCCCTGCCCATACCTTGATTTTGGACTTCTAGCCAACAAAACTGTGAGAGAATAAATTTTTGTCCTTTAAAGCCGCCTAGTTGTTATCAATCTGTTATTGTAGCCCTGAGGAAACTCATATAAACCTAAGACCTATACTTGGGTAGTCTTCTGGGACTTCCTTTTTTACTCAACATCACGTTTCCAAGAATTATTCATGTTGTTTACTGTAGCTGTATCTCTCTGTTTCTTTTTTCTTCAATATCAATGGCAATATTTCATCAGAGACATTAATGAATAATATATATATGAAAAACTTTTTCGAAAATGATTATGCCTCTGTTTTGGGGTGCAGTCTTTTTGTTTATGTTCCTTTATTTTATTTCCATTTTTGAGAAAAATTTTTATATAAATTTTAATATTCATGACATAACTACCTTTGTATGTGTAAGTGTGTGTTAGGCAAAATAATGATCCTCCCCACACTTAAAGAGATACACATCCTAATCACCAGAACCTGCAAATGTTACCTTATCGAACAACATATTGTGATGATATGACTAAGTTAAGGACCTCAAGATGGGAAGATTATCCAAGCGAGCCTAATCTATGTCACATGGGTCCTTAAAATTGGAGAAACTGCCCCAGATTTGGTCAGAAAAGGAGACGCAACTATGGAAGAATGGTCAGAGAGATGCAGTGATGCTTGCTAGAGGACGGAGGAAGGGGTCTGTGAGCCAAGGATTGGAGGCAGCCTCTAGAGGCTGAAAAGAAGCAAGGAGACAAACCCTTCCCGAGAACCTCTGAAAGGAACACTTTAATTTTAGTCCAGTGAGTCCGATTTTGTAATTCTAACCTATAGAACTGTCAGATAACAAGTGTGTGTTGCTTTAAGCCACTAATTTGTGGGAATTTGTAATAGCAACAATACAAAACTAATACCGTGCATGTGTGAGTCCCAAGGAAGCATACCTGAATCTGGCCCCAGTCCTCTCTTGTTCACTGTACTCAAGCCATAAGGGCCGGCCCTATATAGTCTTCAAAAGCACCAAAGTTCATCCTACAGCAACCATACTTTAACTCCATAAAGGTCTGTTTGTTTCATTCATCAACGTAGCCCTGGGAAACAGTAGGCTCTCAATACACACTCATTAAATGAACGAATGGATTATTATTGTTGGAGGAAAGGATAAAAATTAGTGGCAGGGAGCAATAACTTCCAGTGGAAAAATAAAATCACTCACAACTTAAAAACTATATAGCTTGTCTGTTGGCTCTGTTTTCCTCTTCAGTTATAACTCATGAATTTTTCCTATATAGAACCAAGAACTGAAATGGCGTGAAAATGGAAAGAGTCACATTGTATTGTCTCACCTGCCCCAAACCAGTTTGTTTGCTGTCTCAGGTGAGAAAAACAAGCAGTTAAAAACAGTGAACAAGGGGTGCCTGGGTGGCTCAATTGTTAAGCGTCTGCCTTCAGCTCGGGTCATGATCCCAGGGTCCTGGGATCGAGCCCCGCATCGGGCTCCCTGCTCTGCGGAGGGGTGGGGGGCCTGCTTCTCCCTCTCCCACTCCCCCTGCTTGTGTTCCCTCTCTCGCTGTGTCTCTCTTTGTCAAATAAATAAATAAATAAATAAATAAA